AACGATAGGAGAACCGGGCGCGAAATTTTGAACCTTCTCGCGCCACATCTGGAACACGTGGTCATCTCCGGAGTGAGAAACATCAAACCGGGCTTAGGCCTGCCAAGCTCGAAATTCTTCATGATTCCGATTTTGCCCAGGGTGAAAGTTTTCGAAATTTTGAGATCAGAATTTGTCCATTTTCAGGAACCCACGAATTGGTTTCGGCCTTATCTTTACTTAAATTTTGAAACTGGGAGGGATGAGGTGAAGTTAGTGTATGAAAAACAATTTCCCGTCTTGGAGAGGTTAATTGTGCGCGTGGTGCAGGAACCTGCTCAATGGAGGGGCAGGAATATGAAGCAAATTCCTGACGAGAATTTGCATTTTGAGGCGACCATGCTTTTTCTGTGTGAAACTTTTTTGGCGGAGGGTATCGCGCCGTGTGGCACCTTAAGGAATTTGGATATTCGATTTCCTACGGAAAACTGGGATGTGGGAAGTATGACGATGAAACGGCGGTATGGGGAGGATGATTTTTGTAGCCGGTGGGGCTGGAGGGAAGACGTGCCGGATTTTTATTCCAGAATTTCCACGGTTTTTCCCCACGTGGATTACCACGTGGTCGAGAAAGGGATGAAGGATGTGAGAATGGCGAGGTTCAAGAAGTTTAAGGAGCTTGGGTTGGTCTTGGGCGTTTTTGATGGCAAGGGAGGCATTTGCACGGAATTTAGCGAAATGTGTGGGTTTAAAAATTAAAAATTTCAGTTAAATTATTACAAATATAGACAAATTCAATTAAATGGATTAATTACTTATTTAACTTTATACTAATGTTTTGGTGGATTGGAGATTCTATATATGATGATAAAAAACTAGTTGTTATGTAAATAATTTAATTAATTATTTAAAGCTGAACAGAAAATGGATTTACAGAAATTACATACTCAGTGGATAAGAGGGCAAAAAAAATTAAAAATATGTAATATAACCCTTTGAACCGCAAACGAGTGCACTTACTTCTGCTATTAATCTCTTTCTCACGACGATGAAATCGTCGAAATTGTCGAAAAAGATAAACAGTGGGGAATAGGCTAATAGCAGAAGTCGATGCATGCGATATCAACAAATTAAAATTTTCATGATTCCCCAATAATATACAATTCGACATTTGAATTTAAGCTTCGGCACCCCATTTGATCTGTTCTCTAGTGGTAAGAAAGTTTACCACCAGAGAAAATTGTCTGGCAGTGGCCCGAGAGGGGCCCCCACCAGCACACCCACCACCGCCACTCAATCACCTGGTCTCATGGGGCCCGTTCATATATTATGCCGAGAGAAGAAAACAATTCTTCAACATCCACCTAACTTCCCTTTGTCAATAATCATCAACATTTGCTTGACCCCCCAATGGTAGCATAAACTTCTCTTCATAATTGGGAAAGAGGTTCCTTTACAAATTCATTAATTTTTCTACATATATACATACATATATAAATATGTATGTAATTGTGTGCATACTAATTAGAAAACTGCAGACAAACGTAACACTTTGATAATATCATACGATAAGTAAAAACTATGAAAGTTGGTTGGTTGGAAATATGAAAAGCGAGCTAAACATGGTGATGATATACATATCACAGAACGGCGTCTGTTTTTATGTACGTATGTATGCACATACCCAAGGACAATGAGTACGTCGCAGAATAAAATAATTTATGAATATGCCCAATTCCAAGTTTTGGAATAGCTATTCTAAATTACTTATTTATGTATCTGACCCACGAACATGAAACTGGAACTTTTAATTTATTTAGTACTTTTCTCATAGAGAGATATGCGTGCGGATACACGCGGAGGTTGTTGCGGTATTCGTTACATACCACAAATCCTGTCGTCGACTTTATGAAGCTTACATAACCTATCGCATGCCCACCTTAATTAATATGGGGGATTTTTAGTATCTACATGGTTGCGAAATCATGAATTCTATCAGAATCGTTGTCACCGAGTGGTGGCTTTCTGTGACTTTACCGCAATGGTGGTGATAGAAACTGCTATCACCATCATGGTGATATACACAGAGTTGGGCGATGAAATGTTTTTTTTTGCTCCGGATTAGGGATTAGTTTCACCGGTTTATTCGGTTATATTGGGATTAGAATTGGTTAATTTTTCTAGGATTAGATTTTTCAGGGATTAGTTTTTTTAGAAGAAATGTTAGGATTAAGGATTAGGATTACATACATAATTACTTGTGTGATTAAAGATTAGTTATAATTTATCCAGTCTTCACACGCACTACGTATGCATAGTATAGATGGATGAAGTATTAGTTAATCTTAATCCGACTTAATAATCACCAATCCCTAATCCCGATTTTTCCCAGTTCTGAATACACATACATATACATACATCTGACAGACGATTGTAGAATGATCAAAATTTACGTATCACCGTTGGGTGATATGTATACCACCACCATGTTTATTAGCTCACACTGCGTAGCACGAGAGCTATTGAATTCCTCCTGTCCGTCCGTCCGTCTGTCTGTGTGTTCACGAGTTTTTTGCATCAATTGATGCTAATTAATAATCCCCATGACCATTATTGAATAAATTAGACGCACCATTGGGGTCGAACAATCCGTGGCGCAAATGGTGCGAATTAATTGTGCAAAATAGATCGAGAAAGGACTACAATTTTGGAATAGGTAGCACCGTTGGTACCGAACAATCGGTTATTTAAACTGATGCGGAACAATTGGGGGAATCGATGCGAACCGCACCAAAACTGCAGAATAACTGATGAAAATAGTAACAAAATTTTGACACTACGGAATCATGATTTCTTGACAAAAAATTTAAATTATGTCAAAATTGGATATTTATTTTGTCGCCTTATTCTACACCATTGGTGCAAAACTACATGACCTGTATTTAGGTATTCTACCTGATTATCCTGCACCATTGTTGCAAAATTTTTTGAAAATTCTACATCTATTTGTTCCATTATTCTGCACCATTGATGCTAAAACATATAAATTTTATACTTGCGGTTATTCAGCACCTTTGGTCCGAATTTAAATCAAAACCATATTAGCTCACCCTGCAAATGCTTATGCACATATTTTGTCGGCTAATTCGGCACCATTGGTGCAAAGTGATATTCAAATTATTGCAGGGTGAGCTACTTCTAACGTTACTACGGTTTATTATAGCTCGCCTTGCAACTGTCTGGTAAGTGGTAATACATGAAAAATCGTGTTCATAAATATCACATTTTATCACAATTTTTTGCTTTATTTAAATACTTTAACAAGTAATGTAGTATTTGATACATGCAAAACCTATGTTCCAAGCAACAGTGTGTATGATTACATTAACAATTGCTGTTGTGAATAGCTTCTGGCCTTGAGATGTAGGACATTAACTGAAATTAATAGTTAAAAATAATAGTTATTACTTTATTCCTTCAGCTTGAATACCTTTGTCACAATTTTTTGCTAACAAAGTTACTGCTGTAGCATCAACAAATTTTTTGCAGTAAAGACAGCCGGTAACCTCACTCGTATCGATTAAAATTTGGGAACCAATTATAAAAATCTATTACTTAATTACATATGTGCGAATGTGACAAATAGGCAAGTAAGTTTTATGGGAACATTACCTGGTCATAATAATCCACCTCTGGTTCAGGTATAGCCATAATATGTGGCTACACTATTACGCCTCATTCTAATTATACGTATCCACGTACGCTGAGTATGTCGCCGAATCAAATACTTTATACATGTCCAATTCCCTCCAAGTTTTGCAATGGGCGTACTAATTTATTTATCTTGCTCAAGAACATAACGAAGCTGGACCTTTTAATTTATTTAGTAGTTCGCTTCTCATAAATATTGCGATACATATGCGTGGGAATACCCGAAGTTATGGCGATATTTGGTATATATCATAAATCTGTCGATGTAACAAAGCTTATATGACCTATCGCTTGTCCACCTTCATTATTAGCTCACCCTGCGTAGCATGAGAGCTTTTGAATTCCTCTTGTCCGTCCGTCTGTCTGTGTGTTCACGAGTTTTTTGCATCAATTGATGCTAATTAATAAGTCCCAAAACCATTTTAACACAAATTAGTAGCACACTTGGCCTGCAATAATCTATGTCAAAATTGGCTAACAATTTTTTCCGCTTACTTTCCACCATTGGTGCATAGCTCTATTAAAATCACGTATCTAGGTTGTCTGTTTTGTATGGTACAAAACAATTGGGATAATCGATGCAACACGCACCAAAAAGTACAAAATAACTGGCAGTACCAAACGGGCCCGCATTTTTAGGTCGATATTAGGTTGAAATTATGTATCTATTTTCACCGTTTATTTCCAACTATTGGTACTAATTTGAGTCGCAACTATGTATTTCCTTTGTCGGCTTACTCTGCACCTTTGATGCAAATAACTAATCAAAATTATGTCAGAATTAGATATTTATTTTGTCGCCTTATTAAACACCACAGGTGCATAATTATCTGGTTATGATATATCTATTCACTCCGATTATTCTGCATCAATGGTGCAAAATTGTGTGACAATTTCGAATTTATTTTGCGGGCTAATTCAGCACCATTGACGCTAAAATATATATATTTTTTATTTGCGGTTATTCAGCACCTTTGGTCCAAAGTTAAACCAAAAGCATTATTACATCTATTTTCATGCTAATTAAAATGGACCAGGTCCATTTTGTAAATTCATATATATATTTCCGTTTATATTGCGCCATTGGTGGCAAGAATATATAAGAGTTATGATCTATTTTGTCGGCTTATTCCGCACTTTCAGTGCAAACTTGCTTAAATCATTATGACAGGGTGAGCTACTTAAGTAGCTCACCCTGACGTTAGAATTCTAACGTTACTACTGTTTATTAGCTCGCCCTGCGTAGCATGAGAGCTATTGAATTCCTCTTGTCCGTCTGTCTGTCTGTCTGTCTGTCCGTCTGTCTGTTAATGAGTTTTTTGCATCAATTGATGCTAATTAAATAGGCCCGTGTCCGTTTTTTACGAAATTAGTAGCACCATTGCTGTCTAGCAGTCAGTCCCGAAAAATGGTGCGAAATAATTGGGGGAATAGGTGCAACCCGCATCAGTGGGGCATATTATCCCGTAGTAATTTACATCCCATTTTGCAATCAGTGAACCTCGAAAAAGTATCAATATTCTGTATCAATTTTCCTCATTTCTGCTGCACCAATAGTGCAATTGTTTCTAATATATCTGGTTCTTTCCATTAGTGAAACTCGAAAAAGTGTCAATATTCTGTATCACTTTTCCCCATTTCTGCTGCACCAATAGTGCAATTGTTTCTAATATATCTGGTTCTTTCCATTAGTGAACCTCGAAAAAGTGTCAATATTCTGTATCAATTTTCCCCATTTCTGCTGCACCAATAGTGCAATTGTTTCTAATATATCTAGTTTATTCGCTTCTTCGGTACGATTGGTGATCGTCATACGTACATTTAACTTCAAATTACTTGCATGATTCTACACAACACCAACTGGGTTTCGGCTCTCTATAAGCCCAAGACAGGTCGCTACTCCCGTTCATCAGGTAACCAACCAGGTTACGACCCAGTGCGATTTCTATTTCTCTTACATCGCATCTGGGCCCTGGTAATGTCAACATTACCAGACCATTTGAAATGATAATTTTATTTCTATTTAGACTCTTTCATCTATTTCAATGTTTGTTTGATCTGGTGAATAACGTGATCATAGCTACAGTACATAAGTTTTAGAATGTTTCTCCATGACATTTTTTTTTGCTCCCATGTATGTATATGCACATATTGACTAAGATTATCAAAATTATGTACCAACTTATTTTTTATTCTTATTGTTTAGTCTGTCATTTAAGTATGACAGGGCGAGCTACTTCTACCGCTACAACGGTTTATTACAGGGTGAGCTACTTCTAACGTTACTACGGTTTATTATTTGTAGTTCTTTAACATTTCGTGTTTTTATTTGTATATTAAGGTTCCTATGTGTGATAAGGGCCAACATCACACAAATTCATGTGATTTTTGTCATAAAAGTCTTTGAAACAATATGAGTTTTGACACCAGCTACATTTTATAAAAAAGAGGCCTTCACAAGAAGGTAACACGCACTGTATACCAGAATATGTAAAGCAGACTGATTTTACATTAGCGAATGTTGGCTTCTCATCCTCGATCCATAGCCCACTTGAATACCAACAATACTTTATCATCGGTATAAATGATGGTGCACTTAAAAGAAAGTGAGCAAGTGCGATCAACTTTAAAATAAATAGTTTAGCTTGAACTTCATTCTTGTGGCATAGTGCATTGTAGTGATAAAATTGTTTCGATAAGTATTTTAATTCTCGGTGAAAATAGGTGTCCAATGGCTGAGCAACATCAGTACAATTCTCTGGAACGAATTTCACTGTGAGTGCCGGCCATCCATCATCGGGATTAAATTTCGACTCATACATTTGAAGGTTTGTCTGTCCGGTCCAGTGGTCCAAAATGTATAGTACATCACAAATGATATTGGGTTGTATAATTTCGTCCAGAAATGTAGCAACTAAAGGCCTGCTTAATTTGCCGGACTTGCTAGCGGTGACAAACAGGTTTGGAGCAGAAAACAGTGTCTTCTTGACTACTGGTCCAATGGTGCCACTTGCCTCCTAGAGACAAGTTAGGGATTTTGAAACATTCGGTGTGAAAATTTAATTAGTTAAATTTACCTGTAAGCATACAAATACTTTTGGTAGAATTCTTCCTGCGTAGGTAATAGTATACTGTACTGTATACGAGTGGGTCACCTTATTCTTTGGGGATATCGCCGAACCGAACGTTGACCTCTCGCCTTTCCAAGACAACGTCCTATTCGACACAATCTCGTATTTGAAACCAGTTTGGTCCGTGTTCCAAACTAACGTCGGGTCATGAACAGAAATTAGTGGTTGCATTTCATTCCTGAACTCTTCAGCCATGAGACCTATTTGTTCCATATCACGAATGGAAGACCTGTTCACTAGTTTTTGGATTCTTCTTGAAGAAATCCGGTTTCTACTTCTAAATCGAGCAATCCAACTATCTGACGCCTTGAATTTGAAACCTGGATATTCATTAGCCTTCGATACTGCCCAGCGCCGCAGATCCATACTGTGGACCGATCGGAATTCTTGGCGAGCCTCGCGAAAGAGTTGTAGGACATGATGCTCAATTTCCATATAAATATCGAAGTTTGTTCCGCCTTAAACAAAATATCCTAGGTAAATCAATTGAAAAAAGTTACGAAATAAAAAAACTCATCTCAAAGTTTACCCATGCGTATTTGACTTTTCCATCTTTGCAAATAATTACGATGTTTGACCTTCTTAAATTTGTTCTGGAATGTTAAGAATTTCCACGCCGGATTGCTTTCAAATGCATTTATGGCTCTTTTCTTGTATTCCATATCCACTTTGTCTCGTTTAATTGGCTCTCCTTCTTCATCCTCGTAGTCATTTAGCGCAGATATACTATGCACCCCTTAAATACGATTTCAGATTAACTTCAACTCTTGAAATTTGTTAACCCAAGCTTTACTACCTTCGAAATGTTCTTCCTCTTCAACAAAAATGTATTCGATGAGCAGCTCATCAAGCTTTTTTAGAAGAACTTCTGCAATTTGTTTTTCCTCCTCGGTTGGAACCTGATCTGCCCACTCAAAACTATTTTCAACCAGTATTTGAAATGATTTTGCCACTGATAAGAAGTTAATGGAATCCATTTCAAAAATCAAAAATGGTTAAAAATGATTAAAAATAAAAAAAAATGATAATTCGAATGATAATTTGGTTGAGAAGTTAGCCGCTGCTTAAATTATGCATCGAGAGGTGAAAACTGATGACCTGGTGGAGAGAAGCGCAAGAGAAAATCGGGAAGCGGAGTGGTGAACCCCATATAGTTTCGCATGGTGAAAATGTGCGTTTTTGCCACCTTAAAACCTTCGCAACTTCGCGAATTCTGCAGAAGTGCTCAAGCATCATATCAATTGTTGTTTGTGCTTAGTTTCTGGATATTTTAGTGCTAGTTTGAGGAAGATCTGTGAGAAACATGTCTGACATGTGCATTGTAAGTACCGTCTTCTGTACCTTTGACATAGATGTTAAATTTTGGGAAATTTCATTTGAATTATTCGAGTGGTTATGGCGTGGCACATGCCTAAACTTGCCTTATAACATTGGGCTAAATAGGAAAAACTTCAAGTTGAAAGTCCTGTCTAGTCCTGTGATATTTCGAGAAACCGTTAATATTTTATTAAACCCTTATATATCATCTACATAAACCGCTGCCCCTTTTTGTCCCTTTTGCAAATTGACAGAGAAATTTGAGTTTATGCAAAGGCAAATTGAAGAAAAAAACAAATATTTGGAGTGCTCCAATTATTGCCATGTATGAAATTTTTGAGTGTTCCAAATAACACAATCGCTTCCAAATATGTTGCCCGTTCCTAGTGGAAGGGAACATGGTAAACCAAATCCCTCCAAAAATTTGTTACCACAGGGGGAATTTTATGACGTGGTGGCCTCATGAGGAGGGACCACGAAATTTTTAATTTTGGCCCTGTTTTCTTTGTTAATGAGATCAAAGGGCCGAAATACACACTAAAACTATAGAATATTTTATTTGACAAATATACATCCTCAAATGCATCGAAACAAAACTTTCAAATTTACATTTTGACCACTCCCCCTGGTGGTGGGTGTGCCAGTAATGTCCCAATGTTGTTATTGAATTGTATAAAGCTTGATGAGACCTTTCACATGATACCCCACTTGATGGGGTAACGCGAGAAAATAATTATTTACCCTTGACCACACCCCCAATAGGGTGTGGCTATCAGTGAATCCTCCATAACTTTTACCCTTCGGACTTCAAAGCTCGATTTCCGAAGACAGTATTCGAAAAAATTGATTTGTTCGAAAGTTATAGGTTTTGGCAAACAAATAAGCTAATCCGGACCAGTATGCAACCCAGTGAAACCAAAAAAACTATTGAAACTTAGGCATGTATTATTAAAATTATGTATATGTATATTATTTAAAGAATTGTATGTGAAATAGATATCAATTTTTATTTATATATGTGGTATTGTGCACTTTTCCATCCATCAATTGCCACTCGACAATTGCTACTCTTGACCAGTTTTCATCCATCAATTTCCACTCAACAATTTCCGCCTTATGCCAATTCCCACCTTTACATTTTTTATGCATTTTACCACCAAGTCATTTATGCAACTTCTCCACCAAAATTTTTGTTTCGGATTCCGAAAAATTGTGAATAATTTGGCTTTGCCTGAAAATTTGTAAAGCTCATGAAAGAAGGAAAGCTAGGTTTTTTCAAATTTTACTGTTTGGGTAACTTTTGCAAGAGTCGTTCAGTCAAAATCATGGCTCGCTTCCCGTTTTTCAAACAAAAATTCTTTGTCGTCTTCAATAATCTTCGTCTTCGTTCTTATTATTACAAGATTTAGCAGTTGCATAGAGTGGAAATTGTTGAGTGGAAATTGGTAAAGAGTGGCAATTGTGGGGTGGCAAATAGAGGATGGCAATTGGTCCAGAGTGGTAATTGCCGAGTGGCAATTGTTGGATGTAAATTTACACCGAATCATATATGTATTATTGAAATACATATGTAGTGGTCTCAACGGTGCGGTTCGGTTCGGTTCTTGGAAGAACCGGTTTAGAACCGCGAACCAGAATTGAAGAACCGAAACAGAACCGAACTTTTTTTAGCTGGAACCGAACCGGAACCGGACCAAACCGTGACCGAACCGGCGGTTCGGGTCAAACCGGTAGTGTTATTAATATGCAATAAACAACAAACAATGCTAATTGACGTGTTTCTGATGAAATTTCACATACAAGCCAATAACTTATCTGTATTTAAACAAGCAAATTCTAATACATGTCAGCAGCAAAACCACTTATGTATGTATTATTGAAGTTAGAAAACAATTCCAAGTTTGGGGTGCAACCAAGTCAAAATTTCATTTTGGAAACATTGGGGGTGTAACCAAGTCAAAATTTCATTTTGGAAACTTTGGGGTGTGACCAAGTAAAGATTTCATTTTAGAAACTTTTGGGAGTAAAAATTTCGTTTAGGAAACTTTGGGGGTGAAAATTTCATTTTGGAAACTTTGGAGGTATCATCAAGTCAAAATTTGGTTTTGGAAACATTGGGGGTGTAACCAAGTCAAAATTTCATTTTGGAAACATTTGGGGTGTAACCAAGTAAAAATTTCATGTTGGAAACATTTGGGGGTGTGACCAAGTAAAAATTTCATTTTGGAAACATTTGGGGTGTAACCAAGTAAAAATTTCATTTTGGAAACATTTGGGGTGTAACCAAGTAAAAATTTCATGTTGGAAACATTTTGGGGTGTGACCAAGTAAAAATTTGGTTTTGGAAACATTGGGGATGTAACCAGGTCAATATTTCGTTTTGGAAACATTGGGGGTGTGACCAAATAAAAGTTTCATTTTGGGAACTTTGGGCGTGTCATCAAGTCAAAGTTTCATTTCGGGAACTTTGGGGGTGTGGCCATGTCAAAGTTTCATTTTGGGAACTATGTGTATTTCGGGAAATTCGTAAAACTTTTTGGAAAAATGATTGACTTCGCTAATGTATTTATGTATGAAGTTCGGTTCAACCCGAACCGGCCGGTTCGGTTCGGTTCTCAAAGACTTGGAACCGGAACCGAACCGGTAATAAAAGTTTCGGTTCGGTTCGGTTCTCCGTATAAACCGGAACCGAACAGAGCCATCGGTTCCGGTTCGGTTCTATGAGAACCGAGAACCGTTGAGACCACTATACATATGTATGCATACTGTAGGTTCCCAATTTCAGTTGTTATTTTTCAACAAATTTCTGATATGTATCTACATATTATGAAGTTATGTACATAGGTGACTGCACACTTAGTTATATTCTGCTCGTATTATATAAATTGTCACAACGCCGACTAATTAATCTTTCCTCAGTGCATCGGCCCATTTCTATGTACGTGCAGCTCTCATGGACTATTTATAAATACACCTTGTAACGAGCAACTCAAAAAGATAAGCCATTACTTGACGTTCATTACAAAGATGACCCGCAGGTCAATAAATTATGCCATACAAATTAATTTACATACGTAAATGCGTATCTATAATTTAGTTGCAAACATACATATGAGCTTATCCATGTTGGGGAATATCTTCGTCTTGGTTGATGACGCTAAAATTAGATCTGCTTCTTCTTTAGATCGTGGCGTTGTCCTGGCCCGATGAGAGGACAGAGTCCAGGTCACAAATTTGCGAATTACACGTGCCAATACGTTCTTTGGTTTGTGGTCAGGTTAAATTTTTTGGTGGACGTGTGTATGTAAATATGAACGTGGGGCGGGGGTTTGAGGGAGATTTTGGTAGCATATGTATGGTCCGTTCCCTATGAAAAGAGACCCATGTTAAGTGTGTATAAATTATAAACCGGATTAATCCAAAAAATCTTAATAAAAAGGCAAATCTATGAAAATTCTGGTCATTCGGATCTGAACTCTCGTCTGATCAGGATAAAAATATTTTTCAAGAATATTTGGCGCGAACACTATCGGAGGAGTGGAATGTAAGTACTACAGTAATTTTGGAAATATATAATTTGTGGATTGTTCATAATGTATGTGACCGATTTTCGAATATTTTCACCCCTTACAGTATAATTCGGACAGAAAAAGTAGGAAAGTCAGGCTCAACTTGACTTTGTTCAGATTTTAATTTTTATATCCAAGTTTCCCATAGTGCTTGGAAATCGTTTCTGTTTCGATTGTTCTCAAAAGTATGTATGGTGCTATTGCTTCCGTAAATTTATAATTTTTAGTTTTAAAGTTAGATATTTAAAAGTTATTGAAAGTTTTATTTGCAAGGAATTTTGGATGTAATTTTATTGTTATTCTTCCATCAGAAAATAGAAACAAATAGTAAAGATAAAATATTTGCTCACTAACATTCTCTTCTATGGGGGCGTTCGAAATGAATTTTTGTCTCAAATTTCCCTTCTTCGGACATATTTAAATGGCGATTTGCTATATCAATTACTTTTTACGTAATTAAGATTTTATTACTTATTTCATATTACTTAAGTAATAAAATCTTAATTTCATATCAACTGTGCATGGTCGATTTTTAGAATTCTAAAAATCGGCCACAGTTGATATGCTTACAAAGTTATGAATTTAAATTTTCGATGGTTCTTTTCTTATGAGAAAATGTTTCGTTTTTAATTGCTATCTTTTATCTTGTTTTAATGTTTACATAAAGGACAAAAATTTCAAAATTACGTAACTTTGAAAATCAAACAATTTTAATTACTGGAAACAATAAAATCTTCATTTTACAAAAACACACGGACATGAACAAGTTTCAAAATATGTAGCCAATAATCTCTTAAATCGTACCTAATAATTTACTTTATGCATATAAAGATTGTATAAAAATATCACAGGCCTTCGTTCGGAAGATTTACGGCGGGTTTTGCATTAGCGACAATTTTCATGTGGCTGATTGTTACGAACCCTGCGGCAGCTCAGGAATGCGTGACTGGCCGGGAGTTGGTAAGCGGTATAAATTGGGATTTTTATTCACCATGGAAGTCATCCATGCTCACAAATTTTAACGAGACTTGTATTAATTGATAACAAATTTAGTTAATATATGTACATCACCCCCCAATGGTCACGTTTGTCCAAGATATTTCATTTTATCAGAAGAGTAGACAACGCACAGAAAATTTGAAAATGTTCTTGTCCGTAAATGCAACTATGTATTTACCTGCGCATTGGAAAATAGTTCAAATTTCAAATTAATTTAATTTGTGACCGATTGGTAAAAATATGGGAGCATGTGTTGCGGGACGTGCATTGTGAGTACCGTGTTTTCACTTTGTTTCAAGTCATTTTATATTTTGCTAGTGTACAAAGGGCACTGTTTGCCTCGTAGCCCTTGGACTAGAAGGAATCCTGTGCAGCCCAACGCAGCAACCAGTTTGCGATGAAACAGGCCCTTATGAGACCAGTTGCTGCAAATGTCTTGAGGTATGGAACCCTGCACATTTCTAAATAAATTTTTGTTTATCGGGGAAATGTGTAGAATTAGTCTTTAATCCTTATATACGATACGTGGTCATATTTTTTCATTAGTTAAGGGTCGTTCATAAATTGTGTAGAGCAAAAATCGACTTCGTTCAAACCCTTCTCCCCTATGTCACACTAGTCTAACGCAAGACCACTATCTCCATCCTCCTGCTACGGAGGCTCCGCCACTAACACGTGAACGTTTTTAACCTTCAATTACTGGTTGAACGGCTTGGAGTTTAGGTCCCGAACATTTTTTATGTGAAAGCCCTTTTCTCGAGCTACAAGTCGGCATCGGCGATTTCAACTTCTGTACACTGATTTGACCATGGCGAAGTAAACTTTAGACCACTCGTCTCACGAAACTTTCCAAACTCCGTCAAAAGTTTTTAGGTGGCGGAGAAAAGATTTTGTTTCAGATATCCAAAGCCGAATAAATCCATGGGACTTACATAAGGTGACTTAATAGGTATTTCACTATCCTGGATGATTGTTATCCCGAGTCTAGCTTTTAAGTCCTTGGCGTAATCCACGGTCAAAAGGGCGGTGTGTGATGACGCTGCGTCGTGATGAACTACCACTTTTTTTGTGTCCTTGCCATATGGTTTTGGGACATGAATCTCCAAAAGCGGTTTTAAAACAAAGTCAATGAAGTACTTCGTAGTTACCTTCACTTTTTGTGGAACTTTGATAAGTGGGAGGAGACCACGACCAGATAATGCACCAACCACCATTAACTTGTTGCAAAAGTTTTCCGTGTGCGGGATGGTCAATCTTCTGGAATTTTTTTCTTCTTTGGTTGTACCAAAGCGAGGGCAGCCTGGTGGATACGAATTTGGCCTTGAATAACCCCGGAACGGTTTGTCGTAGCGGGTCAAAATTTTGAACAGAAGAGCATGTTATCCTCAGATAGTTGTGTGCAAAAATTCAACTCTCTACTTTCAAAAATGCCTCCCCCACAGCCCCCAGAAGTTTAGACACTCATTTCAACTTTTTCCAAACTCCGTCTACAAAATTCGGTCCCCACAGAAAGATTTTCTTTTCATCTATCCGAACTCAAACAAGTCGATTTGACTTATATAAGGGGATTGTATAGGTATTTCACTATTCGAAATAATTTTTATCCCCAATCTAGGTGCAAGGTCATTTGCATAATCTTGGGCCAACTTTGCCGTCTGGGAGGACGCTCCGTCATGATGAAAAATCACCTTGATTATTATTTTACCGTGCAAATTAGGAAAATTGTATTCTAAAAGTGGTTTCAGTACAAGGTCCACATAATACTTCGAAGATTCCTTCACTTTTTGGGGGACTTTGATAAGTGGGAGGACACCACGACAGGACATTGCACCCACGACCATCAACTGTTTAAAAAAGATCTCCTCACTGAAAATCACCAAATTTGTTGAATTTTTTTTCGGCATTTGTCGTGTAGTAAGCTTTTCAAACCCAATTAGTAACTTGTAGGGAAAATAGTTCTTCGTCAATTGTCACCAATAGCTCACTTCTATTCCTCAACAGAATATTCAAATAAAATTTTTTGGCCAACACGGGCGAGATTTTTTCTGGAACTATTCGAAATGACTGTCTCAGCTTCTGGGGGATGTGGGGCAGGCATTTTTCAAAGTAGAAGGCTGAAATTTTGCACACAACTATCTGAGGATAACATGCTCGTCTGTTCAAAATTTTGACCCGCTACGACAAACCGTTCCGGGGTTATTCAAGGTCAAATTCGTATCCAACAGGCCGCCCTCCCTTTGGTATAGTAAATTTTTCTATGACCGTTGGTATCTTTAAATAAAATAATTCTTCATCCAACGACACTAGAAAGTCACTTTTATCTTTTGTCAGGTAATTTATATAAAATTTTTTGCAGGTCAGACGACGATTTTGTTTATGCTTCTCAGTCAGCTGATGGACTCGGATTTTTCTTCTTTTTTGCTTCTGCAAAATTTTAATTGCTCGTCGCACACTAATCTATGACACTTTGGTTAAACGTGCCACTGCTCTCTGGGGTGGAGGGTTGCCCTTAGAGGTCAATAGGTCAATTTTCTTAATCACGGGCCAAATTAGCACTTTTCGGACTCGGGTATGAGGCATGATGGGTGTCCTTTGGTACAAGCTTGTCGTTGTTGACCTTCATTTATCAGTACCTTATGTATCCCTGTTTTCGAAACTTGTTGTCCTTGAATTTTGAAGTGGTTAATTATGTCTGTGTACGAAAAATTAAGTTTGGAAAGTGTTTTTATGGTACCCTCTTACTCTAAGGTCAATGGTAGGGTCATTTTTGAATCTAGAGAGCTAATTTTTTACTCAGCCCTTGTCAATAATCACATGTCCCTATGCTCAAAATTTGGAACCGAGACTCCAACCCGTTTCGGAGCAATTCAAGAGTGACCGCGTTCACGTGTTAGTAGCGGATCCTGTATGTAACGTAACGCAAATCTCATTTTCCCCAAAAAATGAAAGTGCGAATAGTGGACGCTGCCGACAATTCTATGTTAGCTAAGATTTAATTTACGTTTTAACGTAATTTCTATTATTTTTTTAATTACAAATTTCGACCTTCCTTAATTTTCCTAATTTTGTATTAATTTTAAATCTTAAATCAAACTTCGTAATTCAATTTTAATTTCATACATCCATAAATTATGGATGTATTGGACCATAAATATCTAAGTACGTACGTATGCTGATTGGTATTTATGAATATAAAATATTTCAAGAATTTTTTTACGGAGGCTCGCCAAAAAAACAATTACTAAAACATTCCCACAATTTAAAACAACTTTTACCAGCAATTTGAATACTTTCTCCCAATTCAGGCGCAATGCTACAGCAACAATGAGTGTGCAGAAAATATGGAATGCCCCTCTGGTGAGAAGGCCTACTGCGTGGTGAAGTATGGAAGTCAAATAAACGTGTGTAAGTGTCTGGCAACGGCACCCTTGGTAGGTGAAATTAAGTTCATAAATAATTCTTCGAAAATGATGACCCACTTCTTGTTGCAAGTGTTCTATTTCAGAAAACGATTAAAATTCTATGAATTTAAATAATATTACATATTTCAGTCCACTATGAAGGTGTTCGAATCATACTGTTCGCTTCAACGGAGTGAGGTGTCCGCTCAAAATAAGTGGACACTAGAGTGTACAGATTCTGGAGGCATGCCCATCGCAACATTTGTGGACGGCAAGGAAGCCTGCGTTTGCGATCCAGGGGTACGTCCATATATTTCGTAATCAAAGCTTTGACTTTTAGACCACCCACCCATCCCATTTCTCTACCCTAAATATTCACGTTAAGGTTAACATAGGTGATCCAAAACCACCCACCCACCTTTATGATGAGCTAATACATTTTTATTTAAATCATAGTTGTATGTAAGGTGTATTCGCTAAGTTATGCAGAAAAAATGACCTAATGCAAGCATGTTCCCTAGAAACATAATAAATTTCCTATTTGTCATACGACAGTACATATTTAAATCCAGGTATAACAGTTTCTACTTGGTGTAAAAAATAATGCACTACAAATTCAAATTGCACCAATACTTGTGGACCTGGTAACAGACCGGCATGTCTTGCGGAAACTTTTGGGGGAAAGGGTGTCCTAAATCGGCGGTACTGCGGGTGTGAAAATTATGTAAGTTGTACTCTCTGAGAAATAATGTTACCCTTTTGAAAAGTAATCGTACTTTTAATTCGAACTTTAGTAAAATGCAGAGTTAAACTTCACTCTTTACCAAGTTAACGGAATTCTCGATTTCGTATAGGTTATTCAATTTAGAATTAAAAGGGTGACATTATTTGTAAGAGCGTATATACATAAATACTGTCAAAGATTTTGCATAAATTACAATTTCATTCATGACTCTGATTTCCTAGTGCGATTCCAATGCCGATTGCACATATCTGACATGTGACGACTCATACCAAACTAAACGCTGTATAAATAATGCTTGTGTTTGCAACAGCGAGGTTTGTGCAGATAATGTATTTTCATATCTATGTAAATGTGTTGTACTTATAATGGAGGTCGCCCAGGTAACAGATTTTGACCAAATTGGTTTCAATCGATTCAAAAATTTAATTAGTATGAAATTTTGTAAATGGCACTATCTGCCAATGCTCAATGTACATATGGTATGTATGTATTTTCAATGTATTCTCGTATATTTCAATGTATTTTCGTACTTCTCACAAATATCTGCACTGCAAATAATTTAGTGTATGTAAATCCAGTGCGGTGTAGTCCCATATGCACACGGGCGATGTTAATTGGCCTGGTTTGTTACCGGTTGTGTATATACATATGTGGCTACACCGCACTAGATCTAAACCAAATTATTTGCAGTGTGTCAAACCTGTGCATTGGTAGATAGTAGAATTTGCAAGTTTCATGCTACTTAAGTTTGTGACCGATTGACATAAATTTACTCCAAATCTGAGCATTCGTTTCGAGACTTCCATTGTTAGAAGTTGGGTCATTAAGTTGTCCAGATACCTAACTTAAATATTTTACCAACAGTGCACTTCGAACTCACAGTGTCCATCTTGCACAAGTCCGCCCAAGAAAATGTGTTTCGTTTCAGGCAATCGGCAACCGGTTGGAAGTTGTGGGTGTATCGCAGACATCGGGGTATTAAATAGATTAAAATCTAAACTTGTAAATATATAAATGCATGAAATATATAATTGTAATTGAATAAGGCTAAGAAAAATGGCAAACAAAATCATGGAAAAAATCACAACCATTTTAAAGAAAGAAAGTGGATTTTAATCATTTTAAAAACTTTTTTAGCTCTCTTTTCAGCAAGAGACGTGATATGGAAATTGATGAATTTTTCATTGCTTATATCCTGACCTATTTATGCAGACGCAAAGAATATTCACGCGAACCACGTCAAATTCGGTGACTTAAAATATAAAAAGTTTTATCCGTTTGATTCGTAACGAAGACAGTTCTGCCGTTCCTCGTAGGTTATTGACTTTGGCCATTTTCTGTGTAAAATCTGATGTCATTTTGACGAATTTCGGCAAGCTATGCCGATCTAATGGTGAATTTTAACATTTTCTTAACGAAAATTTTCAAATTTCATAATATAACGCAAAACTAGTGTCCCAACCTGATTCGGGTCATTTTCTCGTAGCGGGTGACACTGCTTTAAGTGCTTCAAAATATCACAAAATGCAAAATATCTATGTATAGTTTAGTCATACATATTTCAAAATTATTCTAATTTATCACGGGTTTGTTGTAGTGCATAGTGTGAGAAGAATTCCGACTGCGCAGCTCTGGACAAATGTTGTGTTAAGGACTGTTACGGGGCATGGCGCTGTCATGATACCCCACATCTCCTTGGCTGTAGCAATGGTGACAATGGCTACATAAACAACGCAAATTTCAAGACTTCCTGGTGCTCAAGATATAATTAGTCAAAAGAAAGTGGTCTTAGCCTGTTTACTAATAGTTTGAGTTCACACATATCTATGTGAAATTAACCTCAAATTAAGATTAGCATTCAAAACTATCTAGAAATCAAATAAATATCTCATAATGGAGGTGCAAACCATGTTCAGAGAAACCATTTCTTGACCATCTATGTTTGAAAGAGTCCGGAATTTGTGCAGATGCGTAAAATTCAGCGTGTTATTGGTGACGTACACATGTAAGTAACTGCAACATGTGAGTATTCGTATTCGGCTGGAAAATTGAGCGTTTCCGCGAACTTGCGACGCCCATAACGTATTAAATTTTTCGTACATAAATGCTGGTCTAATTGTTGTTTCTAAACAGTTTTTCTTTCATAGTAACATACATGATTCAAAAATTTTCTAAGGAGGGGAGGTTGTGTACTATCAACTCCCGGATCTCGATGCCCTTTGGATATGTTGTAGTGTCCCATGAATGTAGAACAACCTCGAAGTGGTTTGATTCCATGGCCACATTTGTGCCCGCCACACCAACTCAAAGGTGCCCAAAAATCGCTTTCACCCAAACTTTCACCCATTCAAACCCACGCCAAAAGTCCAATTGTGCTCCGATTTTCAAATTTTTTTCACACTTATACTCCCAGATAGTTGCTTTCTTATTCCCAACATCAAGCTCAGCTTTTTGAAATTCTTAGTATTTTAAAAATTTAAAATTCTGAATGAGCATTGTCGTAGTAGTCAACAAAACAAATTATGCCTGCGGAATAATCATCAAAAAAGTTGAGTTTGATGTCGGAAATCAGAAAGCAACTATCTGGGAGTATAAGAGTGAAAGAAATTTGAAAATCGGAGTACAATTGGATTTTTGGCGTGGTTTTGAATGGGTGAAAGTTGGAGTGAAAGCGATTTTTGGGCACCTTTGAGTTGTTGTGGCGGGCACAAATGTGGCCATGGAATTAAACCACTTCAGGGTTCTTGTACATTCATGGGACACTACAACATATCCAAAGGGCATCGAGATCCGGGAGTTGATAGTACACAACCTCCCATCCTAAGTTGAACATGGTTTGCATCCCCATATTTGTTAACTAGGGAACAAATCAAATTGCATTAATATTCATGTATAAATTAAATATCATTTGTATAATTGTTACATACGTCATTCATTGAATAAACTTGAAGTCTTCATTTAAGTTTTATTTAGTACTGACATAACCTATTAATAATAGGATATATAATAGGCTATTATATATCCAATATTATCTTAAACCCTTGGAATTATAACATTGTTGCTGAATATGCAATTTTTGACATTAATTGATTATGTTATATTTGACAGGTAGTTTATAATTTCATGTGTCGAACATCGTACATTCGGAAGGTTCGTTGGTACATATTATTCTCCAAATATGTAGTATCATAAATGATATCGCTGAGCAGTAATACATGTAGATCTACTTAATTTTCCAGAGGTTTAAACACAACTATAAATTTTGTATCCTTAATTTATGCGGTACTATGTGTAAATTCAGACAGAATTAAGTACATGAGTATAATGCTTTCGAAATTGATAATAGTTTGTGGCAATTGGTGATAAATTTTGCATAATTTTGTTTTTATAAAGATATATGTAAAATATGCGAATAAATCTGTTTGTTTCTGTACATCTGTGCGATTAAATTAATTTACCCAGACAAAATATCCATTATATTATGCAAGTTGTTTGGCACTTTTTTCTATATACAGAATATTGGTATTGGAATATTAATATATTGGTAGGGGAAGAATTTCTGTGCACCATTGGGGTGGATGGAAGATTTTTCCAAACCTGAATTACCACCAAGAAGGGCTTAAGTGAGTATTGTGCAACCGGAAAAAGGATGGGGAATGGGTGGGTGGGGCTCGTCGATTTTTTTTCGATTTTGATTTTCTAAATAATATTTTAAGATTAAAATAACTGGTGATTGATAAAGTACGAAGAATGACAAACCACGATCTTACGAGGACGTGTAATATGAAAGATACAAATAGAAAAAATTAAACAATGACTTGATTTTGTATAAGAGAAAAAAGGTGATTTGACGATAATCGTAGTGTTACACTTCAGTGGACTGCATATCTCTACTCTTTGTTTCATTGCGCATCTCCACTTGTGCAAAGAGTGTGAGTGTGGCTGTATATAAGAGTTGAGTCGGCAGAGCAGCAAGTACACATAACATAAGGTTATAATGCGTGGATAAAAACCAAGTTTATTCTACTTTCATGATCATAATACAAGCTGAAATGGTTGAAAATAATATGAAATAAGAATGCTTTGAAATAAAGAATGACTGTTTACATAATGTTATGTAGAAAATTATGCAATTAGAAAGAAAATTAAAGCGGGAAAACTTCTCATAATAAACGTCAATATCCTGCTCCTGAAAATCTTGTAATGGAGTGGACAGATCGGCAGTATCTTGGAAAAGTTGGTATTTGTTCATGGGAAGTAGAATCCTTCTCACACTTCCACTTCACTATCTTCTGACTCATGACTGATACTGCCAACCCAACGAGAAGGGAGTAGAAGGCAATAATGAGCCACGCAGCTGCATGAAGAATAAAAATGACGATGAAAGAGCATTTGTTGCCAAAAAACCGGAGATTTGTTCTATTTTTAAATACTCACCAAATACGACAGAATTGGGCTTGATCCGAATTGGTGTACGGGGGGAATTAGTAATTGGGGCGAAGATTTTCTTTCCCAGGACCAAGCAGAATATACCCAGGTCCACCAAATTCACTTTCTGGATACGCACAAGCCACAACTCCGTTCATTGCCTGACCCCAGAAGTACTTGTTGGTCAGACAATGGGTAAAAATCGCGAGGAGAGTGGTGAAACTGTGTCACCACGAGTTGTGCAGCGAGGGGCTGTGCGGTATAGAGGTGTGTTAATTGTTATACTACAAAAATTTTGTAAAAAAATTAAATTTATGTTAGAAAAGCTTGTTAAGTATGTTTAATTATTTCTTAAAACAAATAATTGCTAATTGGGCTGATGGAATGTAACAGTCATCCTGTATAGACCCAAGTCTTGGTTCGATGCGTAATAAAGTCAGTTGTGTTGCAGCAGCAGCTGTGCGAGTTAGTGAAGGTATCCTTTTCCACTGACTTTTACGTAAATGATGTAAAAATCCCAATTGTTAATTCAATAAAAATTTTAGGTGTTTATTTAAATAGGAAATATAATTGGGATCTACACATTAATAAAATTACATATGGTGCAAATAGCAAATTATTCAAATTGAGGAAATTACACGCAATTGGATTCAGCTTACCTGAACTTGTGCAAGCGTACACTGTTTACATCAGATCTAATCTAGAGTATTGTAGTGTTTTATGGAGCCCAAATTTAAGTTCAGTGTTATGTAATAAATTAGAACGTGTCCACGCTATTGTATGTATGTATGTACATGCCATTATAATATTGCTTCTGATCGATTTTCGTGGTTTGGACGAATACTTATTTTGGTTAGAATTAGGATTCATCAAATATAATCTTAATAAACGAAGTTGAAGGAGGAATATGCGCTTATTTATATTATATTATAGTTTAAAATATGTTGGCAGTCATACAGATTTGTAATCTTAAATTTGGTTAGGTGGATAATCATCCATTATCTTGCAGTAAAATCAAGCAATAAAATAATATCATAGGTACCGATACGACAAAAGTCGTCCTGAAAAATCGTGGTCATGGCTCGGAAGGACGACAATTGTCGTTTCTAGGAGGTCTTTGATTTTCACTATTTTCTCTCGGCGACATAAAATTTGTTGCAATTTTGAGGGATATCTCCTATGCAAACACAATGCTAAATTTCAAGATTTTCATCCCAAAAATTTGGATATTTCCCTATACAACTCAATGTTAAATTTTTGATTTTTCAGTTTTTCGAGTTTTATTAAAAACTCATGAATTTCTCCTCCCGCGCCATGACCACAACATACTTATAGTGTCCCCGATTTAATGCATTTTCTGGTTGTTAATCATACACGTTAAAGGGTTAACCTTAAAGAATCCTTTGTTTAATGAGACTTAATTATTACAATTTGGAAAATGCCAAAAAATTACGTTAGTATAAACCGGACATCACATCCGTGCATAATACTTCCATGCGTACCTGTCTCCATACAAATTTGCACCTTTATTTCAAAAATATGTACCTTTAAAATTGCCTGGGTAAATATATACTAAAATATTTTTTCAGTATTAATAAGTTAAACAACTCTCATAAACAACTTCGCTGGACCGTTTAGTACCGAATTTACTTAAATACTCTGTAGATAAACTTTCTGCATAAGAACTTCGATAAAACTGCATTCTTCATTTCCATCACAAAAGCAGTACCACAGACACCTAAACAAATCCCACAAACCAAAAAAGCCGTTACGATCTTCGAATTGTAATCCAATAAAGAAACAGCATCATTCACGGGGTGCGTCCAATTCGCATAGTGATGAAACAATTTTTCAGGCTTCACTCTTTTAAACCATTTCTCCCAATATGAATAAATTCCTGACGACAGCAAAACCTTCAATGTTTTCTCGGCATAATTGCCTCGCACGGGTACTACCCGCCATCCACGAATCCCCGAGAAAAATGTGTCGTCACCCTTCTCATATACGATCCCGTTCTTGTTATCGTTCAAGAAAGGCAGAATTAGGCGAACGTTTTCTTTTAAATCCATCATAGCAATTTTTCCACAGCTGTTAAGACTTTTTATTAAGACTGTCGTATCGTTGTATTCGATGGGGTGAATAGAGATCTCATCCCATGTCCTGTTTTCCTGTGCAGTTTGACTACGAAGATTCATTGTAGTTAGCCACAAAGAGTAAGCTACGTTTTTATACTCCAAAAACAACTTAAGATCACCTTCGTAACGAATTAACTCCCTTAATCGTTCTTTTAGTTCCTCATAAAAGGCAGCAATTCGCTTATGTCGCTTGATATTAAACTCCATCCGTGCTTTGTCCAAAAATCTGGCAAATGGGATAATCACTTGAACTCCCTTAACATTCATTATCGTCTTCCATGGAGAACTTAGTTTCACGGGCACTATCAACTCCATTGTGAACGAGGTCTTGTACC